TGGTACTTATTGAAGCAGTAAAACATGAATGCATATGGCCAAGTCTATCAGTGGTCAAATGCTTATGTATGGGATAAATTGATGTACCAGAAGTGACAGTCTGTGTATCAGCGAAGGAAAGGTTAGAATGATGTGGGATAGAGTGTTTGTATATGTTAAGATATGATGGAGGCTTTTTGGCTCTTGTGGATCTCCTTACAGAAGTTTGAGGTGAAGATGGGAATCGTGTAGTAGTGGACTGTGTAGAATTTGGTTGTGTAGTATTGGGTTGTGTAGTATTGGGGTTAATGTTTGTTTGGGGTGTGGGCAGTGGAGTAAGTGTAGGAGTAGGAAGCTGAGGTTGTTGAGAAGTTGTATTGTCATAAAAGAATGAAGATGGTTGTGGAAACATAGGTTCAGTATTGGTAGTGAAGGTTTTATCTTTGAAAGGAAGCACAGTTTCAAAAAATGTCATATTTCTGGTGATTAATGTATGCTTGGTATCCAGATTGTAAAGTCTATACCCTTTACAACCTAAAGGATAACCAAGTAATATGCATTTTGATGATCTAGGTGCAAATTTGGATCTTTGAGATGTCAAAGTAGATGCATAGCATAGACAGCCTATTACTTTTAAATGATCATATGTAGGCTGTTTGTTATAAAGTATCTCAAAAGGACTTTTGTTGTTTAAAACTGATGATGGAACTCTGTTAATGATATGCACAGCAGCTAGAATGCAGTCCATCCAGAAATGTAAAGGTAAGTTTGCATGAAAAAGTAATGCTCTAGCTACTTGCAAAAGATGTTGATGCTTTCTTTCAGCTCTTCCATTTTGTTGAGGAGTCTCAACACAACTTGTTTGATGAAGAATGCCAGTGGAATGATAAAAATTATGCATGAAAAACTCAGGACCATTATCAGTTCTAATGCATTTGATTTGTTTGCCAAATTGAGTCCTGATTATGTTATGAAAATGTATAATGTGATGGGATGTATCAGATTTTGCAAGTAATGGATATATCCATGTAGTTCTACTATGATCATCCACAATTGTAAGGAAGTACTTATGACCAGAATAAGAAGGAACTGAGAAGGGGCCCCAAATATCACAATGAATAAGATCAAAAGGAGCTGAGGCTGTAGAAGTACTTACAGTGTATGGTAGTCTCTTTTGTCTAGAGAAATGACATATATCACATGGATTAATATCAGAAACATTGCCTTTATTTATAGAAATAGGAAGCTGAACAAGTTTATGAAGAGAAAGGTGTCCAAGTCTATGATGCCAAACAGTGGCATTAGAAACAAAATTTTTAGAATCAGCAAAATTACAAACATAGTTACAATTTGAAATGTCAAGATTGACATGATATAAACCATTCTTTGCTTCAACAAAACCAATCATTCTGTTGGTGTTCAGCTCATGCAATTTGCAATAAGAGGAGAAAAAACTAACCAGGCAATTGTTTGTGATGGTCAATTTTGAAACAGAAATGAGATTGAATGTGAAAGTAGGGACAAATAGTACATTGTGTAGTACAAGATTAGGTCCCAGATTTATCTGTCCCACATGACTAGCACAAGTACTTTGTCCATTTGGTAAATTTACAGTTATAGAAGTTGGGGAAGGGGGTGAAGTAAAGAGACTTGAATCACAAATCATGTGATCAGAGGCACCAGTATCTAAAATCCAAGTGTATTTGTTAAACAAAGCATGATTTATCAAAATACCTTGGTTAGTGTTTGAAATGGTTGCAGAAGCAACAACATGAGTGTGATTTGGCTCTCCAACTGCCTGTTTGTGCTCAAAGTATTTCTTAAACTCCATGAACTCAGTAAAAAGAGTGTCAGCAGTAACAGTGTCATTGGAAACAGTAGAAACAGAGTTAACAGATGTGTGATCATGATGAATCTTAGGACCTTTAGGACCTTTCCAATGAGGTGGATAGCCTATGACTTGGTAACAATGATCTGTAGAGTGATTGGTAAGGCCATAGTGGTTGCATTTGTATTTCTTTTTGTCTTTCTGAAAAGGTTCTCTTTGAAATGGTGGTTTGTATGGTTTG